AGTGAACGTTACAAACTGTCATTTTATCTACATCACTTCATTACCAGTAGAACCATTTAATTAATGCCACACTTACATCCACATGTTTATAACTCCAGCTGCTAATTCAACACTGCAGACACTTACTCATTTTACCTCATTTATCTATTTTTTTTGCAGCTCTTTTTTTTTAACTGTTCCTTTACAGTACTCCCTCGCTCCTTCGAAGTTCATTTATTGTGGACTTGCTCTATCGCTGTTTTTCAAAATAAGATTGGACATGACACGCACGATCGCCATGGAATTTTTATTTAAAATAAATTGTTTTGAATTATTTAGCACCTGCTGCACGTTTGTGCAGCCCATAGTGCAGGATAAACTTCCTGCTGCAGCTGATCAGCTGATCTCCGTGCAGAGCAGAGAAGTGGGCGTGGTCAAACTGGCAAAGAGCAGAGGAGGCAGGGAGATGAAATCATGACATTCTGTGCTCTTTAAGAGCGTTTATAGTTTAGATATTTTTTTTAGAATTTGCAAGAGTGTGGGAAGGGACTATTTACTACTAGTACTACTATTCCTACTTCGCGGTTTTTCACTTAGCACAGGTCTTCAGGGTACGGATCCCCTACGATAAACGAGGGACTATTGTACGTCGACATGGAGAGGTGCCAAATGTAAATTCATTGTGCACGGTACGATGATAATTAAAAAAAATATATATATTATTATTATTCTGTCTTGTTTCTGGAATTACCATGAACTAATTCAGACCAACACAGTCTCAGTCATGTGACTCACGAGGGAACCTGCCCAAGCGTCAACATACACTGCCTGGCCAAAAAAAAAAAAGTCACCACCTAGATTTAACTGATCCAATAGGTACGAGCCTCCTATTGGATAATTACTGCAAGGGCGATTATCTTTCAGCTGCAACAAGTTATTTAACCCCGACTGCTGCAATGAGTTGCTTCTCATTTCTTAAACAACCATGTTGAAAGACACATCGCATGGTCGTGGAAAAGATGTCAGTCTGTTTGAGAAGGGCATGCGGCCGGAAACAAATATCCTGAATGATCGTGATCAGCGATCACGTAAACGTTTGGTGAAATCAAATGGAAGAAAAACAACAGTAGCGCTCGGGGATATGTTTAATAATGAAAGTAAGAGCATTTCTTTACACACAGTGTGAAGGGAACTCAAGGGATTGTGACTGAACAGCTGTGTAGCCTTAAGAAAACCACTAATCAGTGTGGCTAACTGGAAACAAAGGCTTCAATTTGCTAGGGAGCGTAAAGATTGGACTCTGGAGCAATGGAAGAAGGTCATGTGATCTGATGAGTACAGATTTACTCTGTTCCAGAGTGATGGACGCATCAGGGTAAGAAGAGAGGCAGGTGAAGTGATGCACCCATCACGCCTAGTCATCAATGCAAGATCTTGTTGTAAAATTAATGCAACACTGGATGGAAAGAGATGCGACTTTGCAGAAGCTTATTGAAACAATGTCACAGAGAATGCATCAAAGCTAAAGGCGGTCCAACAAAATATTAGCGTGTGACCTTTTTTTGTTGTTGTTGTTGTTGGCCAGGCGGTGCATGTTGAGTAGGGACAGACTGTGTTGTTCAGACACAAATCTAAAGATGAAAGATTTAAGACTTGTAGTAATCCTTTCAGAGCACGACTGAAATAAATGCAACAACACGTTAAAGGATGAAATCTAGAAAGTTGCTGTTTCTTTTGGCACCTCAGCATCTTCTTTCCTGATAAAAGCAGAAGTATGAAGTTTTGTGAGCGGCTGGATTCTTTGAGGTGATGTTTCCTCCAGGTGGCGCCAGCAGATAAGACAAAAAGAGGACTGTGGTTAAAATGTTGGTCCACCTGATCATGGAGGCAGAAATGCTATTTTTACCCATGTCTTAAAATAATAACTGACTCCATCACCCAGAGAAGCCTGTGCGCTGAGCATTTATTAAACTCCTACATCTGATTCTTTTAGGACTTTATCACACCCATCAAGCATAAAATAAAATGTAACAATTTAAACGGAGTGGGAGTGGAACAACTTGTCTGAAGATTAAAAAAGAAAAAACTTCCTTTTTTCTCTCATCCCTCTGATCTGCCAAGAACATCCTCCCACACAGCGGCCCGATTCTGCTGCAACCTTCCCAAATTTATAAAAAAGGAGCTATAAAATGAACATGCAGGAGGCGTGTGGAGGTTTTTCAGCTGGTTGGACTGAAAACAGGCAGCTCATCAGGAGATGAATTCATTTTGATAGTTTAACAAAATAATCATTTATTAAGTGTTTAACACCCTGAAAGAAACAAACAAGAGGTTCTGCTCGCTGCGATGTAAAACGAACGAGACGAAGAGGTAAAAACAAAACAAAACTGGGATTATATTTAAGTTTTACAACAAATTACCATTAATGAATCGTGTCAAAGTTAATCCCTGCAGTTTAATGGGAGGTGTTTTGTTTATTTATGTATTGCTAATGCAAAATGAATAAAGAATGATGGATGTCACTTTATCATTGTGAGCAATCAAAACCTAAAATCAGACAATTGTTTCACTTTTTAAACATTTTATTCACTTTAACGGCCGTTTTATCAAGTTTACACCCGCTTGTTCTCAGACTCGTTATATGAGCAGAAATCTGACCATACTGACCAAAATGATTTGGTCTCACTGAAAAAGTCGAGATAAAAATCAAGATTTAAATGTGACAAACTAGACATAATAGTTTTACTTTGTTTTTACGCTTTCGCAAACATGCCATCTTTACTTTATTTTAACAATTTCTCTGTTAAAATGAATACTTTCTTGTCCAGATAATTGTTTTACCGACTAAATCAAGGATAGTCAACAAAAGGGGGGCACAGTTTCTGAAAACCAGCAGCTCGGGGGCCGGACATCCAGAGATTAAAGTCATTAAATTTTATCATTAAGTTTATTTTATTCCATTGAATCAAAAATGCAATAAACAGAACCCAAAACCCAAACTCAGAACCCCACCCCCCCCCACCACCCCCAATATATATATTAGTATATTTTTTATGAAGTGGGCCGGATTGAAGTCACCTGCGGGGCATTTCTGGCCCGTGGGCCACCAGTTGAATAGCCCTGAACTAAATATTTTTTTAATGCACCACCCATTTTATGTAGGAAGGGTCAAAGTATGAATTAAAAATTATAAATTGAAGAAGAAAAATGCGCAGCCAGTTGTTTCATGTTCTGTTTTATTCTTTAAAAGAACAGAGTTGGTTGAACGGAGTATCGCAGACAGAAAATAAATCAATTCAACAACTCAAAATATAAAAAAGCGAAGCGTAAAGCGTGAAATAGACATTAAAGGACATTTCATGGGTTTTCACCGGTGAGCCAGAACCTGATCCAGCAGCTTCACTTTCCTGAACTGTTTCCTCGAAAGACAAACTTTGCTTCAGGCTCCGCAGCATCTGGAGGCACATGAACAAGGCTGTGACTCAAACGACACAACTTCCAGTCACTGATCCAGCTCGAATCGTCTCAGGAGAACCAAACGGGCTCCTGGTACTGAAGGGGTCCAAGTCACGCGACAACACATGACAGCATCCTGTGATGCTTCACTTGACTCGCACGAGAAAGTAGAATTTGATCATTTGTTTTACGAAGACGGAATAAAATGTTTTGACGCAGACGAGTGGAACTTTTGTGACAAACGTGAAAATAAAGTTGACTCATATTATTTTACTGTATATGATGAGCCATGGGGAAATACTCTTAAAATTAAAGACGTTTGTGCAGCTCACTTCTATGTAAACCAACCACGTAGGGTTTTTTTTCCACTCGTAAAGACATTTTCTTTTCTTTACCATAAAAACAAGCTTGGAAATGTCACCTGAGTATCTGGTTCTTCTCATGCGTCCTGTCGGTTGCTGGTGTGGGAGACTCCAGTCTTCAGACTGCTTCATGCTGATCTGAGCAAAGTGCTGCTAACTGAGGGAAACTGCAGGAAGCTCCATACAAACATAATTAAAATGGGTCTGTGGGCATGAATGGATGTTGATTTTCTTAATTGCTTTAAACTGGTTTGATGCTTTAAAAAACTATATCTTTAAATCTATTTTTTTACGGTTGCATTTGACTAAATGTGGTTCTGTGACCAACATGTATCTTCCCTGAGTGGTACTTTAATGGTAAAAGGTATGACCAGAGTTAGAAAATTCCTTTTTTGTTTGTTTGTTTGACATCGGAGAGCAGTTTCCTGAAGAGATCCTGCACCTTCAGTTTGTTGAACAGGAAATCTAAGAAGCTTAAACACTAATGCCCAAATGGCCCCAGGTAGAGAGGGAACAAAAGGAACTGGCCACGAGACAAGAAAAAAACTAATAATGTGAGAAAATGTAACTTACAAATCCCGGTTTTAGCTTCAAATAGCTTCAATTTATCAGCTGACAAAACATTTGACAGTAAAAATACAGCATACAGTACGTCAGTGATGACTCCCAACGATTGAACCCTCCTGTTATGAAGAGGGAACAGAAAGAACCCGTTGGAGCTCATGTTCTCCGACACAAAGAACGGTTTGGTGTCCGTCTAATCCAGAGGCACCACTGAAAACAAATCCATGTGCAAAAGGAGGAGAGTTTGACAAGAACAGCAGCATTAGATTGGCATAAAGTTCCTCTCAGACAAGAACCCAAAGACTCATCTCTGCTTTACTGTCTAAAAACAGTGGTTCCCAACCCTGGTCCTTGAGGAACACCATCCTGCATGTTTTAGTTGTTTCTCTGCTACATCTGATCAATGATGTGATTACCAGGGGTACAACCTCAAGTTCTGTAAATCACCCAGTTATTCAAATCAGGTGTGTCAAAAGGGAAACAACTGGCTGGCGTTCCTCAAGGATCAGAGTTGGGAGTGTTTAAGTCCTCACATTCATTTGGAGCAAACTTCTCCTTACTTTTAAGGGAATTCAGATTTAGAGGCAGCGGGCCAACATTTATAGTCCAGTAAGTGTTTATGAGCCAACAGGTCTGCTGTCAGCAGCCTTTAAGGTGCGAAAGTGCCGAAAGTTTGTCCACTTTTCCCAAAGCAGCCGCGCTCTCCACGCCCTTCAGCCACTCCTTACATTTCCTCACCACCGTCTCGTCCACGTCCCCGTCCTCCTCCTCGTACTCCACGTCGTCGTACTTGTGCTGCTCGTTGAGCAGAGAGATCTTCACGATGGCGGTGATGTCCTGCTCCGCGGCCTCGCCTTTGGCGCCGGGCGCGCAGCACTTGGAGCCTCCGTGCGTCTTTTTGGACGGGAAAACGCGCCGGTGCCGAAAGTCCGCGGAGGCGCAGCACTTCTGCTGCTTGGCCATCATCTGCTTCTCCTGGTTCCGTTTTTGGATGACGAGGATGGCTTCCGGGGTGAGGCTGAGCGTGAACTGAAGCTCCTTCCTCTCCTCCTCTTTTCCCTGGAGGTGTCTGGCGGAGTCCATGGAGCTGGAGCGCCGGACTCCTCGGTGTGAATCCTGAGCTTTGGGCACCGACAGCCAGGAGGAGCCTTTTTCCTGAGTCTCTTGTCCAGATGAGGGTTTTTGAGCTGGGCTCTTCTTCTCCAGCTGCGCTTTGCGCCCCAAGTGCCGTAAGTTGGCAGATGCCCAAGAAGTGGGCTGTTTGTCCCTGTCGGAACCGGCAGCTCTGCGGGTTCGTTCAGTCTGTGGGGGCTCCCCTGTGGCTTTCTTCTTCCCAAACAGGTCCCGGCCGGGAGAGGAGATCCTCTGCTGGAGGCTGATCGGAGGAAAAGGCATCTTTTGAAAATGTTTTTGGTCTGAAGGGATCAGGACAGAAAAACCCGCCGTGCGTAAAACGTCATCATCCACCTGAGGAGCCGAGGCGCACCTGCTGTCCACACCGACTGGACTTTAACTACACGCGCACGTCCTGCTGCTTTATGCTGGAGCTGACGAAGAAGGGGGCGTGGTCAAGAGCCGCTCCAAACAAAGACTAGAAAAGACCTGGTGACGTCATTTCATCTATTTTTTTTTCTAGTAACTTCCCAAAGCAGACTCATCAGCCTCTGCTGACACCATCTGCTGCTTCTCCTTCACTCAACACCTACAGACTGTTTCACAAAGAGTCATTTCAAATAAATCACCTGTGCTGGGTGTGATGGTGCTTTTATTGAAATCTCATCTGATTCAAACATGAGTCGTTGAGATGCAGAAGCATCCTTGTTGCTTGTATTTTGAACACAAATAGGTGTGTGCTCAATTTCCTCTCAAACGTGAGTCGTTGCGGCATCTCGCACATCTCATGTTGACAGCTCTCTTCTGACAGAAAACGTGATAATTAAAAAACCATATTCCAGTGGGTTCAATCAAACACTGGAGCAGCCGATCAGGTGGGTAAAGGAATTATGTGCGCGGTGTAGAATACGGTTTTGTGAGTCATTTACACAAAACTAAACTGCGAGTTTCAAAAGGTCACAACTCGCATGATAACGTGTCATTCAGAATTATGTGAAACTGCAACAAAAAATTTGCCTATTTTCTCACATTTTGTCTCAAACTAGCCCAAGACTAAAATGGACTGTTGTCTTCTTAAATCAACTCTGGTCTCATTATGTTCAAAAGTGGCGTAAAGTTAGGCTCATTCAGCTCATCCGTCCTGCCAGTAATAAACCATTTCTCCAAGTTGGGGTTATTTAAAGAACTATCTGCAACAGGTAAGATATTAACTGCTCAGAACTTTTCCATTGGCCCCACTTAAAAGATCTACATTATTGCTTTAACACTTTAAAAACAATATTTATACATCAAACTGTTGAGGGAAGGTTCAGACACATTCTTCATGTAAGGTTCAATAATGACTTGTTTTATTTTAGAGGAAAATCTGAGCAACTGGTATTTGATCATTTTTGCTGATATTTCCTCTTTTTGTCAAACGGTTCTAAAACTGAATTTTGGTCAGTTTCCACTCAGTTTGGACAAAACTGATACTTGGCTGAAAACGTGTTTTTAGACTGACGTCTGCAGATTTCACACTTTTGTTTCCATTTTTCTTTTTACTTCCCAAAGACCTGTTAGTCCACTGCTTCACCCATTTATGGAATGAATAATTTCTTAGCTAAAAACGATGCAGGAAAAACTGGTTCATGCATTTGTCACGTCTAGACTGGACTATTGCAATGGTTTGTAATCTGGGTGTCCAAATACTTCTTTAAAAAGTCTTCAGTCAATCCAAAATGCTGCTGCTTGTCTTAACTGGAGTTACTGGGAGAGATCATATCTCTCCAGTTTTAGCTCCTCTCCATTGGCTCCCTGTCAAATCCAGAATTGAATTAAAAATCTTACTAATTCAATTCAGTTCATTTATACAGCGCCAAGTCACAACAGAAGTCATCTCAGAGCACTGAACAGAAACATTCATATATAACCTACAAAGCTCTCAACAACCTAGCTCCATCTTATATTACAGATCTTAATGTTCCATATTTTTCCCAACAGTGCACTTCGTTCATAGACTGCAGGCTTACTCGTGGTTCCTAGCGTTTTCAAAAGAAGAATGGGAGGAAGATCTTTCAGTTCTCAGGCTCCTCTCTTGTGGAATCAACTTCAAGTTTCTGTCCGTGAGGCTGACACACTGACCAGTTTTAAGACTGGGCTTAAGACTTTTCTTTTTTATAAATCCTATAGTTAGGGTTGGCTTGTTATGCTGCCTTAAGCTTAGACTACTAGAGGACAAATTGACCTCATTTCCTTCAACAAATTGTTAAAAATAAATAATTTTCATTTGATATTATTTCTATCTTAATGTGATTCTTGTCCTGCCATTGTGTATCTGTTCCTAACAAACCCAGCCGGTCGAAGCAGATGGCCGCTTGTCCTGAGTCTGGTTCTGCTAAAGGATTCTTCCTCATGCGGGAGTTTTTTCTTTCCACTGTCACCTTCATGCTTGCTCAAGATGAGAGTTCTGTGATGGAGTTAAACTCAAAGCAGTCTGCTCCTCAGATAAATAATGTTAAATTATTATTTTTATATGTGAATATTTCTTCAGTGCCCTGAGACGACATGTGTTGTGACTTAGCGCTGTATAAATAAACTGAACTGAAGATGTGAACAAAATAAACCAGTGGCACAAATAGTTTTAATCTCTGCAGGAAGATCTAAGCCAAAGGCGTAATTCCAGCGTTTTTTGTGCAGAATCTCTCGTCTCTCGGACATAACGGATTAGACAAACTGGAGGAAACAGACAGGATGCTAACAGATTGCTGGGGTCAGGCCCTCTTTAGCCTCAAACTTCAGAATAATCTAAAAATAGTCGGCAACAGAAAACAAAAAAAAACAAACAATTTCTCTGCCTATTTAAAAGATTTCTCTTTAAGTTTACTCTGACGGATCCGGTAGTTTTTTGTCAATTGAAACGACAGCATCTGTGCTAAACCACTACACAATACTGTTCAAACATCTAATAATGGCATGGGCGTTACACAAGACGGGGACTAAGTCCCTCAGATGAAACCTCGTGTCGTGATTATAATTTCTGCAGCTGAACCAGATCAGAACAAAATAATCAGACCTGCTGGTCCGAGGAATTCCATAAGAATGAAACGCACCTAGGTATGATGTGAACATCTGCTCCACAAATGGGGGGTAGGCAGAGGCAATGCATCCTCCAGAGGAGGTTGTCATGACAACCACATCCTCAAAGGCTACATGCCAAAGCAATGCAGGGGAGGAGATGAAGGCTGGGTTATTAGGTCACGTCCAAATCACAATGCTCAGTAAAGCGTAATTAAGTGGGTCGCTGTTGCATCTGGCAGCAAATCACATTTAAAACGGAGAGGCATATTTAATGTAATTTATTGAGTGTGGGGGGTGTTTCGGTGCGCACTTAAGACTATCAGAACAGACACAAAAGCAGCATTTTTAAGCTCATTAGCTAGAAAATAAAGTCTTAAAAGTGATGCAAGTGATACGTCCCAGAGCATCATCAGACTCAAAGGTAAAAAAAATCAAATCCTTTATACGAGCGTGTAAAATGAACTGAGCTCTGCTGATACACAAATAATGTGCAATAATTATGTTTCTTGCATGAAGCTCCAAGACAGTAAAAAGAAACAGAAGAAAATGAGATTCCACTCACTAAAAATGTAAATTTACACGCGTGTGGCATAAATATAAACAGATGTTTTCATTTTTTTATTAAAGCAAGGCACTTTTGTTGTAAGTTGCTTTGCAAAACAAAGTGAAAGTCATTTCCCTGCACATGAATTGTATAAAATCTTTAGAATACATAGACATTTCTTAAATATATTAGGAATCAAAGACGGACGCTCTCTATTCTCGCAGGGTGCTAGAAGCTGCTTACAGGCGAATAGTTTTAGCTGAAAGTGACGAGTGAGAATTTGCAGTACGACGCAGGCAGAGTCAAAAATGTGAAAGAATGATGCAGAGTCAAAAATGTTCATTTTACAAAGTCTCTGTTCAGACAAATGTTGTAGTTTGCACATCGGGACGAGTCTTCAAGGAAAACTCGAGCTTTAATTCAGGCAGGTTGTGAAGCACTTGATCATTGCGTCCCTGTTAAAACAAACAAAATCACGCAGTTAAAAAATGTTTCTCTTTGGGTAAAAAACCAAAACAACAACAACCAGCGGCTTCTCTGTCCTTTGTTATGATGATCTGGGCGGGGCTTATCATGAATTAGTGAGTGTGTTTTGGCGGGGAAGCACCACACACGCTCAGCGATGGGGGCTCCCTCTTCAAGGTGTGCTGAGGTGAAGGATGACACAATGCCAGCGGTCGCCATGACAACCGCGGATCGCTGCCTGCCTCCTTTAACAGGGCTCGTTCCTGGTGTCAGTGGGTTGCTATGCAGACTTTCACCCCAGCTAGACTCAAAATCCAGCCAAGGAGGTGTAAAAAAATCAAGGTCAAAAGGAGACACAATCCGAAAAGGAGGAGGGGAGGTCAGTGGACTCCTGGTTCTACCCCCAGGTCTAAAAACAAAAGATCTGCCACTCGAACCCTTGATCTTTTTTTATTTTAGTGACCTAATGCCATTTTTCTTAGCCTGAATTAAGCAGCATGAAAAGATGACGAGTCTGAGAAGCTCCAGGATCTGGTGGGAAGTGCTCCTGCAGCAGATGCTGCAGGTTATTAGAGGCAACGAGGTAAAATACATTAAAGGATCAGGTCCAGTGGCCATGTGGCGCCTCGGTCAGTCAGGTCTGTCAGTCTGACCACAGTCAGGGAGGTGAAGGACTTAACTTTGGTGCTTTTTAATGCACCAGTCAGAAGGAGTTCAATAAACGCTGCAGCTCTGAACCAACAGAGAGCCAAGCGACCAAACCCAAACTAAATGAAAAATGGATTAAAATAAGAGGCTTAAGAATAAGAAAAAACAACAACAATTGTGTTTACAAATGTTGCATGAATAATAAAAAAAGGAGTGATGAATTTGTAATTTCTAAGTAAAAACTGGCTGAATTTCTTCAGAGGGATGTTTTTTTTTTTTTGACGAGAGCGTCGTGAAAGCGGGTCTTTGTCTTAGCTTTGTTTTGTTGTTAGCATTGGCGCTGGGGGAGGGGGAGCTCGGGGTGGTTACACGACGTCTCTCAGCTGTCAGGACGGATTATAGGGTCAACCAAAACGCACAAGACACTTAATGGAGGAGCTGGGTGTCGGGGGGGGGCATCTGGACCTCTCACCAAACGAGGTCTAATCCCACTTACAGCTGGACTGACAAAATAACATCACGCCTCCTGCTTTGGCTCCATGAAGGCGCTCAGGTGGAGCAAAATGTAAACACAAACAAATCAAGCCTGGCAAGATCTAATCAAAAATCTGCATCCAGTCTTTCTGCTTTAGAGCTTATCATGAGCTCATTACGTCGAATAAAAAAAGCTGGACTGCAGAAGAAATATTTGATAAATCTGTCTGAAAGAGCATTATTCCACAATAAATCGTTTCAATTTGATATTAGGGGCTAAACAGTGTTAATACCAAGAGAGAAAAAAGAATAAACAGCTGCCATTTGACACATGAGCTCACAGCTGGATTAGAGCCATATGCTGGAAGCAAGCGTTGGTAGGAGGCACATAAAAACATGTTTTCATTGATGGGCCACCGAGCGTTTTCACAGCAGCTCCTTGTCCGTCTGCCACCGGGGGACATCAAGACAAAGAGGAGGACTGAAATTATATGAAGATCCCCCTTTTCACCCCATGTCTTCAAAAAATAACACTAACACGGAATTTAAAATCTTTCAGGTGATATAACATTAAACTAGAAAAATTTAATTTACTGCAAAAATGCAGTGTGAATGTGTAGTGCTGAAAAACAGCTGAAATGAGCTAAAACCACGCTGAAATGTAGCTGATATGAAAGAACAAGGTTAAGTTAGCAGAAGAAAGCAGAAATAACACATATTTGCTGAATCTGGTTTAAAGCAGCAGAAATTAGCACAGAAATTAGCTAAAAAGCTGAAATTAGCAAAAAATTACTGAAAAAAATCAGAAAGAAGCTTAAATTACCAGAAGGAAGTGGGAAGAGCACATTTTAGCTGAATTAGTCTGAAAAAGGTTAAAAGGAGTGCAAAAAAGGTGGAATTAGCTGAAAAAGCTAAAATTAGCATACAATTAGCTAAACAGTATCTGAAATAACTTAAACTAGCATGAATAAGCTGAAAGGAGCATAAGCTGAAAAGGCATAAAGAGGTTAATTAGGCTAAAAGTTGCAAAAAAATACCACAAAAAACTTGAATTTATCAGAAAACGGCTGAAATTAGCTAAAAAAATGCTAATAAAGCAGCTGAAAAGGTAGAACAAGCTTAAATTAGCATAAGAAAGCAGAAAGAACATGTTTGCCCAATTAGGCTTAAAGAAGCAGAAATGAGCACAAAGTGGAAATTGTCTGAAAAAGCTGAAATAAGAAAAAAAAATCTGAAAAGTAGCTAAAAAAAAACAGAAAGAAGCTGAAATTACAAAAAGGAAGTGGAGAGGGAACAACTTTTTTTCTGAATTAGGATGAAGAAAGTTTAAATGAGTGCAAAAAATGTGGAATTAGCCCAAAAAAGCTAGATTAGCATAAAAACAGCCAAATAGTAGCTGAAATAGCAGAAAAAGCTGAAACTTGCATAAATAAGCTGAATGGAGCATAACAAGCTAAAATTAGGAGAAAGAAGTTAGAAGAAACAAAAATGTTGTAGTTAGCAGAAAGAATTGAAAAGCATCAAAACAGGTAAAAATAAACAGCTGAAATTAGCTGAAAGTAGCTGAATTTTTTTTATTTGCACAAGGAAGCTGAAAGAAGATGAAGCAGAACAAAACATGAGAGGAGCAGTAAAAGTTTGTAAACAGATCTAAAGATTTGAAGGATGTAAAATGAGCTTAATTTGTTTTCTACGAAGAGAAAAGTGGCAGAAAAGGCTAAATCTTCCAAAAAGCTAAAGTTGCACCAACACCAAAAGTCACAGCAGAATTGTCCTGAAAGAGCTGAATGTTTTGATTGATTTGTTGAAAGAGTTTGAAAACTGCAGGATGAGAATGGTGCTGAAAATCGTACATAAGAAAAATGGATCACAATAGTGTGAATGCTTCATAAACATTCACACAATAACATAAACAGTAGATCAGTACAGACCAAGCATTTATTGTGTTTTATCTTACCTGGCAAATGGAATGTAGGAGATGCTATACCTGAAAAACAGCAAAACAAAACCAAAAAAGATTAGGACAAATCCAGATTAAGAGAATTAATCATGGCTTTACATTAAGTCCAGTTTTCTGTCATCTATAAATAGAGTAATAGGTAGTTACGGAGGGATTAGTCATGAATTAAAATTTCATAATCTCGTTTTCATATTTAGCTTTCCAGTCATGTTAGGAGCAGAAAGCCGATTTCTTTTAACTGAATTTCTAGAATGTTTACAAAAATATTTATCTGCATTTTAAAGGGTTGTATAGATGAAAAAAAACTGGGAAAGGACTAAACAATAAATAACGATATGGATCAGAATATGTAATTGATTGCAATTTTTTTGTAAGTTTTACCGTATGTTGGTATTTATATGGAATATGACCAAAAGTAAACAAACGCTGAACTTTTCAGTATTGATTTGGGAAAGACTTGGGGAAACAAAAACTGTATGTGAACTGATGAAGCTGAAGATTAAACCTTTAATATACAGTATGAGGAATCCAACACTGTAGCTGAATGATTAACCACAGCTGAAGCACATCATGACCGAAAGAAATCGTCATGTGTTTTGGATAAATAATTAACAATCGTCACAGATATTAAACCAGAAAGTCCAATGGATGTTGTCAAACTTCCTGATGAGCGTCTCGGTCGTTCGGTAACTTCAGCCCCGCAGACCGGACTCGGTCCACTTGTGTGAGGACAACACCTTACGACAGAAACACCCTCCCACGGACGTCTGAGCGTTTGTGTGGGAGTTCACTCTGCCCCAAATCTTTTGAGGCTGAGCTAGAAACGTGTGACTCGTCGTTGCCACGGTGATGCTTGTGAGAACCACGGCAGAGCCAAAATGAACGGTGTGGGTTATAGGCTGAAGCGGTCCGGTCCACTCCTCCGTCCGAGTTGTTGGGGGTCACGTGTGGTCATAAAGTGAAATTCTTTCATTAGTCTCTGGTAAATATGTTACAAGTCCCAACACGTTATTCAAAAGGTCGTATTGTTCCTTAAGTTTAATGGCGCTTCCCCTCACTTTGTACTGTCAGAGTAGGTTCGAACTTCGTCTTTGACTTCCAAGGTTTTGTGAATAAACACAAAGGAAATCAAGTTAAATTCTTAAAACGTTTAAAAGATTGAAGCAATTCAGTCAGTTCAGAACTGGGACCGGTTCTTTTTGTTTAAAAGTGAGAGGCAACTGTTGGGAGACCAGTTGGTGACTCGTGTCGTGGGAAAAAAAAAAAGAAGAAGAAGAGTTTTCTGTTGCAGCTTCACTGAATTCTGAGTCGTGATCAACGAGCCATGTGGTCACGTTCTGAGCAAATTAAAAACTGACCTATTTCTTCGTGCACGGCGATCAAAACCGCATTCTTGGGTGTGCAGATTATTCTGTTGCCAACCTCCGCTCATTTTGTACCCACCCTGGCAGCCGCCTCCACGTTTACAATTTAACCTAGTGGAGTTGACGTTTGAAAAGGCGACGGTCAGATTTAGACCGTTTTTTTTTTTTATGTGGTTTTTAGACCTGGACATGTCGATGGATACAAAAGTCAAAACACAGCTTTGGTGCTTTTCAGATGGGTTAGAGACACCCACCATGACCTGAGAGAAAAGTTGTTGCACAATTTACTTTTTTAAACGTTTGAAACACCGCTCACTTCTGCCACTCACGAGAGGAAGTTAAGTTGACTCAACAAACTGACTCTGCAAAAGTTGCGAGACACCCTCAAGACCCTCTAATGAACTCTGTGTTGCTCGTTGCCCTTATTCACCAAAGCACTGACTTCAGCCTTGTCTGTTGCTCAGCCAGAACGATGGAGACTAAACTGACCAACTTGTCGTGCGCGCCACTTAAAAAAATTCAAGTCAGACTAGCATCGTTGCTTCATTTTAGATTAAACAAAACAGGAAGTGTGTGCTTCGTCTCTTTTTAAATTTCAATATCCTCAGTTAGGTTGTGAATTGGTCGAGGTTAACAACAACCGCCACCGGTGCTGTTGACAAACAGGGTGCCGGTGGAAATTGTGCTATTGTTCGCCGAAGACCACGAGGAGGGAAACATGGAGGTAGTTGAAGTGAGGACAGAGGACGCAAAGGACAGAGATGGAGGAGGATGACTCACTGTGGCGACCCCTGAAAAGAAAAAAGCTGAAAGAAGAAGAACAAGAAAAACAAAAACAGAACAAGAAAGAGAACAAGAAAAACGAGAACAAGAACAGCAAGAAGAACGAGAACATGAAGAGAACAAGAACAACAAGAAAGAAGAACAAGAATGAAAACAACAAGAATAACACAAACAAGAAGAGAACAATAAGAACACAAACAACAAGAACAAGAAGAACGAGAACAATAAGAACAACATGAACAAGAACAATGCGAAAAACAAGAACGAGAAGGATGGTTGTGAATGCTGGGTGGTGTACTGTATCAACATGTACTTATATTTACGGTTCCATTTGTTTATAATTCCTGTCGAGGGTTTTATTGTGACCAGTTGCTCATTATATGATGGCAGCTGTGTAATTTACATAAGTGCCAGAGCTTTGACAAAAAGTCAGCGAAGCTGGAGCAAAGTTCTCGAGTATCGTGTTGCGCTTCAGCCAGAGTGCAGACTTACCAAGCCATCGCCAAAAACTGCAGAATACAGAAGATGATAGCTAATCCATTTTTTTTCCACTGAAAAAAAAAAAACAACAAAAAACAGTCAAATTTTCTAGAATATAAAAGAAATGTAAACCAGTATGTAGCTCTGAATCTACTGTATTCTTACCCAAAATGCTGCACAAAGTGTTAAGACGAGGCAGAGCTGGCAGAGGGAGAACACAACAGTTACTAAGAAACATGTTACTTTCTTTTTCATTTAGAAAGTATCTTATTGAATCCAAATTTAATGTCAAGCATTGATGACAATGTATGGTCAAACGGTCATTTTAAGTTATTTTATTGTCAGTTCTTAAAGATCAAACTGTGACGTCAAGAACCTTTAACTGAACACGACTTATATTTAAAGAGTTACAACGAAAAGGTTTAAAATACAGAGAAATAAAAAGGTTAGACTAAAGGAAACAACAGTAAACGTTATATTTACCAGCATAACGATGGTGGCTATCAATCTCGTTGGCTCAAACATGCGCTTCAGCTGCTTTAATGGCCCCATCAAGAAACATGTGCTTTATTTAAAAATAAAAATTAAAAGTTACTCTTTGTTCAATTCATCATTTACAATTCAAACAACTAATTCAGTTCAAGTTACATCAAGTTTAACCAAGTTTGTTGCTTTATAACTGCTGCACCAAAACCTTTATTCACTTTCTGCAGTCAAAAACTATTTATACTAAAGTATGAATAAACGATCATTTTGTCTTTATTGGTAAAGAGACAAACCAAAAAAAAAAAATGCAGAAACACCAGTTAGTGATCTAGATAGTCCTTTATATTCAACAAAATAATTTCCTTGGGTATGAGCGTTCGATTTCCTATAATAAAGACAAGTTTCCATAATGAGACCACATAAACAGGTTAAATACACACACACACACACACACACACACACACACACACACACACACACA